AATTTTGAACGCAATAAAATCACGCGTAGAACCTCAGACAACTATAATTATTACTTGTCTGATGTAGAACTCACTCTAGCGAGAAACTAATGGCGTCAAACTGAATTGTTTTGTAATAGACATAATTTTAGAACCCGGATATTTCTATGTGACGTTTCTATATTTCGTTGAGAATTATTTTGTTAAGAAATCGCTGAAAATATTTTATCGGTTTGTAAACGGGACGTTGTTGCTTCGACGGTGGGCTACAGGAGACTTCGAAACGTCCCATCCAGATCGGACGGCGCCCTCTCGCGCCACTCCCTTTGAGTTGCGTATAACAGATCGGACAAAAGGCTGAACCTTTCCTATTGGATGGCAGCTTACAAGTCATGCTATATTAGCATATTTATCTTATAATAGTTGACAACTATAGAGGGCGCGGCAGAATAAACCAGTCGTGGTAATTTTGCGTCCACGCGGAAGATTCCACAGACTCGCTGTAAAGGAATTATCATATAAAACAATAAAATTGCCACGACTGGGCCATTCTAGCCCAGAAGCACAATACCACGCGTGCTAGTTTACCTTACATCCCAAAAAGGTATGCGCGCGCATGCGAAACGCCGTATCTTCGACTTCTGGTAAAGTGATCTGTCGTCTGCATATTTGAGTAAACAGATTGACGACTGAGAGCGCGATTTTGGCACGGATCCAATGGGTCTCAAGTGAGTCCCCATGCGATCCCGATTAACATGAACGCAACCGCCATGGCGAACATGAAGGGTTGAAAATATTCGGCACGTACCATGATCTCATAACGTGAACGTAGCTATTGTTTCGGTTGACCGTATATTTCTATTGACAAATCATATCTATGTAAAATAGCATAATAACATACATATAAATTCCTTACAACCATGTAACGCATCCCGTTTTAGCTCCATGCATGTTAAAATTAATAAGGATATTTCGAGTTTCACATAATAACCTAAACTAACACACATTGTGAGTAAAAACTGTAGGCGCAGTAGCACTCAAATTTAGTTTAGAACGCCGATGCACTTACAACACCCATTGCCAATCGGCATTGGTTGTAACGTGTTCAAATAACGTGACTCCGCCGATGTCCTGCTGACTTCATTATCACATGGAAGGTAGAAGGACGTCTATCTACTTTCCATGATTATCCTCAGGCTGTTGGTAACACCATGGAAGGTAGTATCCATGGTAACACGAATGCCACACTTTATATTTTATTCAAACAGTACTGAATGACGGACGCTCAAAAAAAGTACAAATATTATGTAGAGGACGCGACTTATTTGTGTATACAAAACGGCGTTCGATGAGGCCATGTGTTCAGTTTTACTGGCTCAGAGAGAATACGAATGTTTTCTCGACATCTAATATGCATTGGTTAGTCGGAGGATCAATTCTAGAAAACCTGATAATACTGCATATTTTCTTTAAATGGCACGCAGTACATAACTGTGCGTTCTTTCATGCACATTTTTTGTTGTTTCTCTTTCATTTTCTGTTGTAATTGTTTTTGTTTCTTCTTTTATTAGTCCAGACGCCCCAGCATATTTAATGGTCCAACCCCTACCTTCTTTTGACAAGCTACACAAGCGGCGAATATCACACAGCTGCGTATAAGTATCTAAATGTGTTTCGAGTGTGAGTGACAGCCTCTGATATTCATGGTCATAATGACAAATTCAGCGCGTATATATACGGAAGCAGGAGAGAGCAAGTTATGATGGTGAACTCCGTGATCAATGCAATGCGCATTCTCAGAATCCCGGCGACGCTGCAGCGTGCCGTCGAGGGAGCACCTGCCAATATTGCGGTGTATGTGGCCCGTCCCCGCTATTGCAGCTGCCAGCAGACTGCGAGTCACTGCGGGAGGGTTGAAATTGTTTTCATCGAGCATACCTGCGTTACTAGGGCGGGTCATTTTCGTTTACTCGTGATTTTCTTGGAAAAGGCCACACTATACACACCCCGTGCGAAAGCTGGCAGTTTTCCCAGAAATAGTGCATCTCTACAGAGAGGATGAGACAAAGAGTGCGGGAAATATGGCGATGTGATATAAATATTGTCTCCCATGTTTACGTGGATATTGTAGCCAAATTTAGTTATCTAATCCCATTTTAAAGTTGTCCTTCAAACTACTAGAGGTTGCGTATACCTATTATTCAAAAATCGTAGCTCGGGGTACCGATCGAACAACAGGACTGACTCATGCGGGCTAGTGTCCTCCAAGTCACAGATCATCATTTAGCAATTTACGCTTGTGGAAAACGTGCATTCGGATGCAAATGTGAACAGTGAACTTGGAGTCTTGATTGTTATCAGTATATAGTACACGACCGGGAGGAAATTGGGAAAACGACGGACGATAACGAATACTTAGTATATGGGACCGTCTGACGCCACCGTTCACTTGGCGATGTTGACCTTGGGAATCATTCATTCCGTTCAAATTTAGGAGATGCCATTTTGAAAACTGGGGTGGTGAAGGATTTTATTAAAAAAAGACATGATTGAAGAGAAAAATGCAATGAATGCACCATGTAGAAGTTGTCAAATATGAATTCCTCCTGACCCTGATTTAAAATGAGAACTCCCTTACGTAATACTGGTGATTATGATTATTTCACAGGAAATGACGTAATTTTCGAAGAAAATACTATTTTAAAGGCATTTCTAATTTCCTCCATTAGAGTTGATTGTTTTCATCCGATGCTAAATCCGCTAAGTTATATTAGTAATATGGTCTAAGACTGATAAGACACGACCATCTGATCCATTTTTTAATTGATGCATCAGCAACCCCAACTGATACCATTGTCAAGATATAAACGTGAAAGGGAAATCCGGCAATGGAACCTAGTTTGGCTTAACAACAGTGTCTTCATTTACTTGTGTCCCAATGCCCAGCGCGAACGTGTCGATGATAGTCTTGGCCATCTGTTCATCCCTTCTATGTTGCCATGTTTCTGGTAAGTGCGGAATATCCAACGCATTTCCCGATCCACATGTAAATGGAAAGAGCCTGATGTGTCGACCTCCATTCAGAGTCCCCATTAAATGAGTTACACACAACACTTCAGCCCGTGCCAGCATTACAGTCAATTCGCATCGTTTAAAAGTACTCACATGGCGTACCGGTAAGTTACACAAAATCAGGTTTGCCTCACCCCAGTGTATTTGGTTCACTGTCGTGAGCGCCTAGCACAAACAGCCCGCTTATTGGCTAGCACGTGCCGAATTATGGTCCATTGGGACTCAGATGTGAGCTTTCGCCCTGTGGGGAATTTAGGAACTGTGGGAGATATTTAGCACGTGTTATCCAAGTGACATGCTATGACCGTGCTAACGTGTTGAGTGTGAACGATACTCGGCAATTTCATTAGGACGGGTAACCATTGCGTAGTAGTCTTTACTAGATGTCCTGAACAAGTTTTTTAATTCTGTTGTCACGATTTGTTGTTACTTTTCCAAGCTCATATCCAAGCAAGTATAGAAGACAATTCAGGAACCAAGGTGGACTGGTTTAAATGTGGGGAGTATTTTTTTTTTTTTTGCATTCGGTGGTAGATTGCTTATTAGTAGATGCTGAATGCACGACACCGCGCATTTCCGGGTTTCGAGATATGCGAAACGCGATAAAATGCCGATAAACGCGTCCTCGGTGAATGACCACACTCGATTTGGTGTGCGTCGTCGTATTACATGTTAATTTGATATAGCAAAGCATCTCCCATAATATATATACTAGTTACGAATTAAGACAAATTGGGAAAACCGCTAGTCTATGTTGTGCACGTTCGCGTATGCATAAATAAACGAAAAACATCAGAAGTTCGACTGAAAACTGTACGATCATGCAGCGACTACAATTGCGCTCCGGGATCAGTATCCCCTCGTTCGTGTTGTTGCCATGGTATCCAAGGCGTTGGCCGCCCAGCAATACTGTCTAGCCATAGTGTGCCAGCTTTTTTTGTTTATTGAGGGGGTTATATATAAAAAGAAAGAAATAACGTTCTTGCAATAGCACTTGAGCTGACAAACAAAAATCAATACATATATATCATACGCACTATATATGTAGATTGTGAGGTCAACTTGAATAAAACGCCACAGTGGCTTTGAGTTATGCCAATTTCAGTAGTCGCATTGAAAAACAGGCATGTTGTTTGATTGAATATACCTATATATTATACAGGATATAAAATGCGAGGCCACGTTACGGCGGAATACAAGCGTATACACTGCGAGTGTTGTAAATGGACATGAATGAAAAAAGGACTCGGAACGGTTTCGAGGTCCCCTCGATATGATGATACATATGATGAATCGTAGCACGTCTGCACTAACGCTTGATTCGTATGAAAAATATTTTCGACCGTACGCTAAATTATTCTGTACATTTTCAAAATTTAACTTAGAATTGTGTATAGTATGCGATAGAAAGAATGGAATATAATATCAAACGAAATGAAAGGCGAAATGTCGGCAGGTACAGTCGATAAGCAATACCAATGTATCACTTGTGACGTAGAGGCACATTCCATTAAAACCGCAGGGGTAGTCTTTATCGAGGGAACTAATTTTTCTTAATTGTGCTAGCAGAAATTGTCATACAAATACGAAAATCATAGTTAAAACGTAGTAACGTGGTTTATTAAATATGAAAATATTAAAATTTACACTAAATATACTATACTTTATGTGTGGATGTTGTCTGAACCTTCTGTTTTTCAAGTACTGATGTCCAAATGTGATTGGTTACGGGTTGAGTCATTGTGCCTCCTTGTTTGAATCAGGCTATTGTGTGATAGGAACAAGGTCGGCTAAAGTCAGCCGATACGCAGCGGCAAGCCAGCTACGTACGCAGTTTTAGAAATAGTACAGCCGTGGTGTACGCTAACACACCTCTGTACTCTGACCTTGTCAACCACGCCAGCTTTAGTCAATCTAATGTGACGCAGTATTTCTTCTTGCCATTCCAGGAGTATACCTTTTAAAAAGGCAATCACCGACCAGTTCACCACTCTTGTCTATCAACGAAAACGGATTGCGCGATACTGCCAGTCGCCGACGTTCAGAGCCGGCACCATGGATCACAATACGCCGGTATTAGAAGGGGACAGAGAACGTATAGATGCAGGGGCAGCTATGCTGAGCGGCGAAACTGGTCGACACTGGACAGTACAGATTCATCCAAGTACCGGGGGACAATTCAATATCGAAGTACCAAGCAATGAAACCGTGGAGGGACTTAAAAAGAGGATCGCCCGGAAACTGAAGGCACCAAAAGAAAAACTAATGTTACTGCATCGAGATAGGTGAGTATGCGTGGTGAAATACCGTATTGTATTTTATATTCCATTTTGTTACTTTCAGTTTATTTTTCTAGAGATCAAAACACTGCGTTGCAGGACGATGTTTACTTGTGTTAAGAACAAAGCGCCTACACACCGAACTAGCAAGTCTGTATTGCAGAACGCAGGCATCGATTCATGACCAGCTCCCCTTTATTCCCCTAAGCAAACGAATCGTCCATTTTTTTTAAGAGCATTGTGCAATTAACTCGCTCAACTTTAGTACAGTTTACTACGAAAGCAGCTATTGAATATCGCGATTTCCGACGTTTTTCTCCAGAAATTGTTGCTAACTTTCAGAAACTGTTAGTGGTATGAGTTACCAATACAGCGAGATAAGTTTGTGCGTCTGGTACCGTCTGTTCCGCGAGTCCACACTCGACCTCGTTTATTGTATGTGCCTCTCTTCAGCTATGTGCCCCCTGCCTTGACCCCGATGCAGTATGCTTACATATATAATAGCAATTTCTTTCGCTCTTTTCTCATCTCTTTTTTGTGCGACAGGCAACTTAAAGATGGTACATTGAGTGACAACGCATTGTGTAATGGCAGCAGACTTGTGCTCCTACCAGCTGTGGAGAGTGGTCTTTTGGTAAGTTCTACTTTTCGCCCACAGATGGGCAAATTCTCCCATCACATCTAAATGTACCCTATCCTCTATATGTGTTTACATAATACCCGTGTGTTTGAGATGTGTTTTAATTTGCAGTTTCCATTGTTTTTAATATTTTTCAGTCTCAACGCCATGACCCAACTTTGGTGCAAGCTTTAGAAAATCTCACCGATGACCAGGTATGGCGTTATTTTAGGGGAAATACAATATTGGTCACCTAGCAGTAAAACAGGGCGGGGCTAGTATCATTTGCCAGGTTGTCACCGGCTTACATCACCCCAGCGAAATCTGGAAGGTATACTTTATCGGTCACACTACTTCATCGGCCTTGTATGTTTTGTTAGTTTGCTAAGCTCCGCCCACGCCTCTATAGATTTGCATTCCCCTCGCGTATACATCCAAGCGACCCCTAGCAGTCAACGAATGTGACCAGGCCTCCCTCTGCGTTGGGCACCTTCCAGAACGGCACAGCTGTGACAGTTTGCCCAGCGCGTTGTCTTTTTTGTATCGTTCTACCGGGTTGACACAGCATTACACAAACACTAATGCTGTATATACCGATGTTGGCATTATTTTAATTTCCCAGGCTTATCCAAATATAACAATTTTTTTTCAAAAGTTCAAATGCTTAAGTTGTCCGGACAGCCCTAGGTTGTTACGTGATCTAGTAGTGGGTGATTGGGGTTGTTCACACCACTTTCACGACCAGACTTACAATGCTGTGAATAGTTCTATTGTGCGTAAAAATAAAAGGGGCGATTGTAACTCCAAAGCAACACCGAGCACACTATCCAGATTTTAACGCGTCGTGTTGTAACAGGGCCAGTTAGCAGTTTTAACGCGTGGGGCCTCGTGAGATCGGGATTGCTGGGTATTGTGCTGGATAACGGCGGACAATGGGTGTAAGCGTATGGATCACCAGCCACGCCAAGCCAAGCCAAGCGGTCTACCTCGTTTGCATACACAGCGTCCATTCGCCCCAGCCCAGCCTCCAGTTGATTTCGCTTGGCGTGTAAATACACGCTGAATGCGCAAAATTAAACGCCATGAAAGAACTAAAAAAGGCCAGGGCAACTGCATACAGATTTATATGGCCAGCTGACGATGGAATCAACCTACACACATTTAATAATCTGACGCATACTTCGTGTTTAGATGGTGGAACTTTTGAAGGTCGCTTGACCTCTGGGATCGCATTTAATTCAAATTAACTGCGTCGACAGCTTTGCTTCATTATTTTGACATATATAGTCGCCTAAACAACGGAGTGAGAGATATGGCATTCTGGCAACAACTACTGTCTTTGTTAGCAACGTTGAAGGGTTTCAAGACTTTTTAAGAACTTTTCAAAAAAGTGCTGCCATACATACACCTGTGAAGGTGAATAGTATATAACAAGCGACCCGCTCTATAGTAGTGGTAGTT